CAACATTCTTATAATATGGAAATCAAACCAAATTTAGATGTGTTTTTAGAGTGGATTAACACTAATCCATATGGTCTCACTTTGAAGCTAGATCAGGGTTGTCCAACCAGTGGGTCGCATGAGGCCTAAGGCAAGTTCCAATGTGGCCCAATAAACGTGTAAACAAAACCGACAAATTTTTAAATTTTTTTTATTTATTTATTTCAACGGCATAAACTCAAAAAAGAATTTTCACAAAGCCATAAACCTTTATTTATATTTTATTTTTGAGTGGAAAGGAAATATTTTCAAATACTTGTAGATGTGTGAATGAGGAATGATTACTAAATAAAGCTGGAGTTGTGACTCAAAGGGTTATAGACCCAAATTTGGGGAAAGAAGAGAAAGGACAAAAGATAAAAAGTAGTGAGAAAGGTTAAATAGATCTTCTGTTATGCAAATATTGACCCTTAATTTCCCAACCTTCCTCACTTCTTTATCTTTTATCCTTTCTCTCCTTTCCCTGCATTTGGGTCTATAATCCTTTGAGTCACAACTCCAGCTTTATTTAGTATTCTTCCAGCATTGCAAGATTTGGCTACATAGCACCAAATGTGGCTACTTTTTCTTAGTTTGACGTAAAAATATTTGGAGCTTTGGCTAGTTTTTGGGCTACGAACAAATCAGATAACGAACCCTTTTGCGAAAGATTTTTATGATCGGACAACAAACACCTCATGGATGGGCACTCATTAAGTTTTGCATCAGTTTATATTTTCGAAAGGTGAGAGTATAATAGCAAAGGTAGAGAGTGGGCAGAAGATGTCTGATGCTGCTGGGCAGTATGGCTTGAACAAGTCTACAGTAGGCCACAGTTCAATCTTATCTAAGAATAATACAGTATAATTGAGGAGATTTGAGCAGCTAAAGGAGTAACAAAAATCACATCTGAGAAATAAAGAACATTGAAGAGCTCATAATAGAACCTGAAATGGATCTGATGACAGAAGAACACCAAGAACTCTTGAATGAATAACACCAAGAAACTCGGTGAGATATATTTTCTTCTGAAAAAGAGGATTAATGCCGATATCTTCTATTAAAGATCTTTTGAAGAAGTGGGAGGATGTCAGAACAATGGTCTTAGAATGGCATCCAAACCAGGTTGAGGCTGGGGGATTTCTACAATTGCATTGCTGTTAATTACTTCTGAAAAATTTTGAAGAAGAGAGAAAATCAATTAGACAGATTCTTTTACCCCCACAAATGGAAAAACATGACTAATAAAAATGCAAGACTATGAATATATGTATTTTTATTTTTACATATACATAGTAAGAAAGTATATACTTTTTATTTTTCGGAGTTTCCAGAATGGATTAATCAAATTTCCATAAAAACCTATGGTAAATCAATAATCAGTTAAACAATTTGGATAGCAAACAAAGTCTTGGAATGGATTATGTTCATTAACCAATCACCCACTGTATATTCATTCACACATTGTATGAATATATTAGACACAATAGAGGAACTTGAACACGGAAAGGATTGCAATAATGTATGAATACTCAAGAAAGCTTGTACAAAGATTGATGCAAAAATACATTCATAATAATGAGAATCAACCCTCTTAATCACAATGTATCAATACCAAGTCAGGACACTCCATCTGAGTCCATATGTATAGCAGTTGACTGAGATTGCCCTTACAAAGAAATTTCAAGGAAAGTAGATGCCAAACTCATCTATTGATATGAAATTTCTATTTTACCTACTTTAGTGAAACTTTAATTAAATTCAAGTTTTTTAACATTTTGATAAATATTATACAGGGTGATTCAAAAGTCACAGAAATTTTAAAATATTAACATCTCACAAACTATTTACAGTAAGAAGATGCAGTTTTCACAGAAATGCTTAGAAAGAAGTGAGATTTTTTTTAGGTGTAATAAAAATTTTAGTATCAAAATACAGTTGTCCCTCGATAATCCGACAGGTATGGGACCAAAGGGGTGTCTGATTACCAAAAATAATTACATATTTTGCATTGTTTTGCCAGCAGTAACTTACAATATTCTCTACTCCAACTGTTCGAACAGAACTGCTCACATAAAACACACGAAATGTGTGTCATCGAGTAAAAATTGAATGGGGAGATTCACATCGCGACATGCTTCTGTGCAAGCAGACACGTAACGGGGACGGGTACCTTGACGGGAGGTGCGTCGGACTACTGAGCATGTCGGATTAAAAAACGTCGGACTATCGAGGGACAACTGTAGTTATATTCAAAAAACAGCTAATATCGTTAATGTTCAAATTTAAATGTATGGTTCGAATTCTCTATTCGATTTTCAATTGCCTGAAGACGACGTGCATATTTAAGTCAAAAGCGCTCGCAAGATTAAAATATTTTTAATCATATTTAACACCTCATAGTCTGAAGTTTTGGAAGAAGTTTTGATTAACAAAAGTATAATAATCTTTTTTGTAATTAAGAGAAATATGTCTATTAAAGCAATTGATAACTTATATCCATCAATAATTAACTAACAATCACAAATAAAAATACTATATTATGCAATAATATTAATTTTAGTTAAATGAGGAGCTTTTCTTTTTACAAAGTATTGTCGTTATCTGAGCTTTGTTGTTGATTTTGGTCAGAAGTATCAACAACATCGGTTTTTTTATTTTTATCATAAAAAATTTTATGGATGAGAAAAAAAAATTGTTATTATTCAAAAATTTGTTTTAGCAAGTCACATTTGTTTCGTCAAATACCACATGATTCCCCTCAGAATTTGTGTTCGAGTACCAAATTGTTCAGTTTGAGTATTGAGATATCACTGCATTTTGTTTGTCATTTTATGAATTATTACTTACCTACAGTTGAAAAAAGTTTTATAATACTTACCTAAAAATGTTTAAATAAACTTTACTAAATATGAAGATTAATCTATAAAAACAAAACACAGTGACAGTTTTAAAGGCTAAAATCTCTAAGCAACTACAACTATATCTGGTTGACAGGAAAGCTAGGACAAGGAAGAAAAACAATGCATTAGCAGTTTTCATTAAAGTAAATTTGACAAATGGCATAAAACAAATTGAAAATTTTAATATTCTAAAATCCATGGGCAAATTTGAGACAACATGTATGCGCATTTGAGAAAAAAATATTGAATAAAGGAGTTTGTACTTAAAAGTTGTGAAATTTTGTATGGAGGATTTTCCAAATTCTCGAATTTTGTTAGAGCAAAATCAGAAACCCCAATTTCCAACCATGTTGTGTGAGGGATACTTGTACAGGGTTCCTATTCACCTGGAAAGTCATATGAAAAATTCATTAGTGTTTAGAAAAAGTTATGGAGAGTCCAGGAAGCCATCACAAAGTTTATTGTATTACTTCAGTATTATAAGTACTTATTGGAATAACACTCACTTGTTACATATACCATATTTAGCCTTATATAAATTTATAGTTCTGTACTATTACCACACTATTGCTAAAATAGATGAACTTAGCTTCTATTGCTTGTCTGTTAAGATTATCTGATCCACTATTTCTTAGTGATGATCTTGTCATAGTACTGGTATGATTTACACCCTTCATTCATCAATACTAGTATGAAATGGGAACAAACAACTCCATGTATACACATTAGAAAGAGAAATTCAAAAGTATCAAAAGAGTCACCACTAATCAGATTAAGTACTTAATCTGATTAAATAGTGGTGACTCCTTTGATACTTAGTTTTGATTCTTTTTTCTAATACCACCACTGACTAAAATAATTATAGTAGTGCTGTAATGTTCTAATTCAAGTTAAAATAATTATTATTCACAGCTCTCATACAGATAATTATCATATTTGAATTTTAGGTTATGTGACATAAAATTTGGAATCTCTCTCTCTCTCTCGTCACAACTTTTTGCTCAAAGATTCTTTCTAATGGGTCTTATATTAATTCTGTTCTCATTCCTCATTTTTGATGGGCATTTATTAATTCTTCAAATGAGAGTTTAGACATTGAGCTTATTTTTATAAAAGGAGCAATGATAAATTAAGTTTTTCAGAGTTTAGATTTCAATATTTAAACAACGAAGTCAGGCATTCAATTTATTGTAATGCTTGACTTCATTCATCAAAGCCATTGCAATTATATGATCAGTTGTAAAAGCTCAACTATGTGGTATTTAGAATTGAAGTGGAAAAAAGAGATGATGGTGAAAAAAATAAGCCTGAATAAAAATGAAAATAAGCTCAAGGAATATTAATAAGACAGATATACAAATTCAAAAAACTTTCAACTGATATCTAAGATTGTAAATTTATTCCCTTTCATAAGTTTTTCAAACAACAAATAGTTCTAGCAATTGAAGTTTTTTGAGAAACATTCCAAACAAAAGACTTTCAGGACAGTCTTTTTAATGAAGAAGTTTCCTAACTTTTGTAGCAATTATTGTTACAAAGAAGCTTAAAGATATGCAATTGTTTTTGAGTACTAACGAGTTGTAATTGTTAGTTAAAGATAAGCTGAAAGCATTTTTTTTTTTACTTGTAAGGAAGAGGATTTCCCTCCAAACTAAATATATACAACTGATAAATAATTTCTAAGACTAGTTTTTAGCTAAAGTTAGAAGAAATTGTTTTATTTATAAAAAGAATTTTGATACAGTTTCACAAAAGCATGCATCAAAGTTGATGTTTGTAAGAATGGTTGGTCCCTAAAGCCAACAAGTATTTGCATCTGATATTAAAGCTTGATAAAATCTTGACAATATATCTACAGAATTTTTGGAAAAGTTTTGTTCATAGTTACATCAGGTATTGAAGTATTAGTGTTTACAAAGTTTTAATAATTTTAATATATAGTTTAAATTACAAAAATAGAAATTGTTTATGTATAATGTATCTATAATTAATTTTATTTATAAATAATTGTTATATTCTAAATTTATGATTTAATTTTATGCTTTAATAATTCGTAATGATTTTGCTTTAAAATTTCAGAAGGCAGAGGATAATGATAATGGTCTTTCTAAAGTGGATGCTCTTGTTGTTGGAGTTGGACTAGATGAGGAAATTGTATACAGTAAATCAACAGCCATACAGGTATTGTAAAAATGGATTTTTAATATATTTTATTTCTAATTGATATAATAATTTAAATACAGTGAAAACTCAATTGTCCAAACTTGATGGAACTAGGAGAGTCTTTTATATAATCCAGAAATTCATTTGTTTTTGTGTTTTAGGTACACCAAAAACTGTACATTTAAAGTTTCATGAACCGTAAATATTGTAATAAAATTAGTCTATTTTAAAGTAAATTAATTTATTCAAAATCTAACATAATGTTACATATAAAGCATAGTTTTGTCTGGCACTACAATCAACATATGATGATGTAATTTTTAGTTATACGTGATGACTTTGGTCTCTATAATATACTCTGTAGTATTCACAATGCTATACATTCTATAATACTTGATTGCTTCTTGACCTTACTATGTTCTTTGGGAAAAAGGTACAAAATTGCTGTATAGCATATCCTTTGTACAAAATAAAGTCTCTCTTCATCAAGTGTGTTCCTCTATGATAAGTTCTATACAGCAGTTTTGTACTTTTTTCCTCAAAAAACTATGCATTTTAGTTTCATTTTGTTTGTTTGTAAACCATTTCAGATAATTGAGTTGCTGCTATAATTTCAATTATGGTTATTAATGCATTTAAGTAATTAAATGGTTTTATTGTTCTTAATCTTCCATGATTATAAGTTAAAATGTTTGATTCTGTTTATTTATATGAAATATAGCAAAGATAAACTATATATTCTAAAACAAACAAATTGACTTAGTTCATGCATTTTCCATTGATCAAATTCTGCAAATGGGTCTCAAATTAAGTCATATGACCGCTAAATGTGCAGAAAACTACTGTATAGGAATTTGAATATATTTTGAAACGATGAAATTTATTAACAATTTTGGTGATTTTTTGTTGGTCAGTTATGTGATCATTAGTACTGTTGCATGACTATTATTAGAATTTTTTCACAAATTAAAGACAAAGTCGCTCTAAAAATATATTTCAGGCAATCACCATTTTTACAGCTGTCTATAATTTGTTCTAGAACACTATGTAAAAATGGTGATCATCTGAAATATATTTTTAGAGTGACTTTGTCTTTAATTTGTGAAAAATTAATTTATTCATACAACGGAAATCCAAATATTATTAGAATATTTTGTATTGAACGGTAATTTGTATCTTAAATTAATCATCATAACTTATATGCTGTAGACTCTCCCATATTCGAACTAATATGACAGGAGTGACCTGGATATTAGAAAAATTTGGATAAGGTAGTATAATAACTTTTAAATAAAACTGTAACATATATGCCACTGTATGTATAAGAAGTATTTATTTTGACTTTAATGCTTATTTTTGACAAGTACAATTAATTTTGAAAGTATTTTGTTAAAGTCATTTGATTTATTTTTCTCAATTTGCTGATGAGCTGCTACATCATGCCAATTCCTTATCATCATCATCATGGTTGATTCATTGTGCTCTTCTACACACTTCAAGGCAATCTTAATAAAAAAATAAATTAAAAACTATACACTGCAATATGCAAGATTCATAGTAGTGTGCAAATTTTCAAAAATTTTGATTGCTTTTGATCAGTCCAGATATTGATGAATCTACTGTAGTTCATAAAAATATAATGCTTCAAAAACGTTTAAAATTTATATTTAAAACTTTTACATTTTATCACATAACTGTTTGTGTTATCACATGCTTCACTTTGACAATATTATTTATAAGCAAGAAATTAAAAACATGAATTTATTTTTACATGTTACGTGTTTTACTTCATTTAAAATTATTTAAATGCACACAGTCTTTATTGTTGTGGCAACATAGCAGTTCGCATGTTTTTGTGCTTTCTTAAATATCTATTTTACATTCAAAGCTAATAAGACATTATTTTCTTTACTTTTAACAAACGATTTTCATGTTGGGCAAACATCTAAAAAGTGCTATTGTCATCTTTCTTCTATACAGTGGGTGATCGGTTAACGAACATAATCCGTTCCAAGACTTTGTTCGCTATCTGAATTGTTCGTTAACCGATTATCGATTTACCATAGGTTTTAATGGGAATTTAATTAATTCGTTCTGGAGCCCCCAAAAATAAAAAATATATACTTTCTTACTACGTTTATTTATATGTAATAATAAAAATACATACATACACAGTCTTGCGTTTTTATTAGTCATGTTTTTTCCGTTTGAAAGGGTTAAAGAATCTGTCTAATGTCGATTGCTTTTCTCTCTTCTTCAGGATTTTTCGTAAGTAATTAATAGCATTGCAATTGTAGAAATCCCCAAGCCTCAACCTGGTTTGGATGCCATTCTAAGACCGTTGTTCTGACATCCTCCCACTTCTTCAAAGGATCTTTAATAACAGATATCGGCATTAATCCTCTTTTTCAGAAGAAAACATATCTCGCCGAGTTTCTTGGTGTTCTTCATTCAAGAGTTCTTGGCGTTCTTCTGTCGTCAGATCCGTTTCAGGTTCCATTATGAACTCTTCGATGTTCTTTATTTCTCAGATGTGATTTTTGTTACTCCTTTAGCTGCTTGAGTCTTCTTGATTATACAGTATTTTTCTTAAATAAGATTGAACTGCGGCCTACTGTAGACCTGTTCACGCCATACTGCCCAGCAACATTAGGCATCTTCTGCCCACTTTCTACCTTTGCTATTATACTCTCACCTTTTGAACAGAAAAAAAAACAGACGCAAAACTTAACTTGTGCTTACCCGACAGTCTTGCGGATACATAAAAGAATTGTTTTGTCAGAAAAATAAAAGGCTGGAATTACAAGGGAGAATTTCAAAGTTCGTAGGAATACAGTACTATCCGATTGGTATATACAGGCTTGAGCGTCGATGTCGATGTCTCCCACACTCTGAAAAGTTTCGAATTGTTGCCTGAAGACAAGAGAAGACCAATCGGTATTCATTATTTTACGTCGCTTCTTCTTATGTTCGTTCTGTGCAGTGTTCATTATCCGATCATGTGTTCGTTGTCCGAACATAAAAATCTTTCGCGAAAGTGTTCGTTATCCGATCTGTTCGTTAACCGATCACCCACTGTATTAAGTTGCCAGTGCAAAAGAACCACAATGAATTTTGGACATGCCATTAAAAAAACTAATTAGAATAACTCCCTTAAAATTCATTGAGTTTGGCCAATAATATCTTTCATGATGGTAAAAATTACACATAATGATGATAAAAAAATGATGCATCTATCAGAAATATTATTTTCGAAGAAGTTTTGTGATGTACATTTTTTATAAAATATTGTACTTAATAGTTATTTCATTTAATTTTACTATACTAAGCATTGTATAATTTGTCATTTTTGACAGGCAACTTTACTAGTTATAATGAAATGAATAAATCATGAAATATTGGTATTATATCTTTAAGCAAATATGTTCATCCAAAATTAAATGGATTTATTGAGGCTTGGATAATTGTTTTTAAGTTGTTAAGCCTAAAGAAGTTTAATTTTGGGTGAAAGTTATATAAGATCACAAATCTCAACCTTATATCTAATTTATTAGATAGTTGAAGTTCAAATTTTAACAAAATGAGCTTGTTAACAATGAAATTCAATGTTTGAAAAAATATAAAGTATGATTAGCAAATTTCCATTAAAGTTTAATTGACACTAATGCATTAAATGATTAAATAATAAATGTAGAAAAAAAATTAATTCTAAACAAAACTATTATTTTAAACAAAAAAAGCAAAATAATCCATCCACTTTTATCCAACAAAACACCAATGCTTCTGAACTTATGCCTTAAATCTACCATAAAATTGCAACTTTTCTCAAGCCAATCACCTATTTGTTACACTCTGTGTCATCTGGGAATTACACCTTGGCTCACCTTTTGCAGTCTTTTAAGCATTGAATGTGACATTGCATGCTCATCTATGTACCTATTTGTTACAATTGTTTTACAATTCTCTTATGGAAATGTATTAATTTTATTTCCTCTGCATGATGACACAATTGATTAGACACAAGGCAATTTTTTACATTCTTATAACGAACAAATAAAGAATGTAAAAAACTGCCTTGTGTCTAATCAATTGCACTTCATCGTGCTGAGGAAACAAAGTACATAGGAAGACACAGTTTCAAATTTAATTTTTAAAAAAATTATTAATATTAAGTTGACTAAACTCCCTGTGACATAATGAATTAATGACCATCTTTTAATTTACCAAATCATAAATGCTGTTTTTGGCTGGGACCTACTGACATAAGCAACAACAGATACAGGGCAAGGCTGTTTTAATGGAGAGTACGGGTTTTTCACCCTTCTAACAAAAGAAACTTCCTAAAATAAAAATACAACTGAAACAAAATATAATGATCGAAGAAAATAAAACAACATTTGGGCTCAATTTCTCACAATACTTACTTTGATTAAAATTAGGTTGTACAATGTTAGTATTGTACTAATTTTGTTATAGTTTACATTTTTTACATCCTGCTGGCAATCAATCAGGATTTAAGTAATAACGAGCTATTATTTATTATGACATCGTCACAAATGTCGGATGGTGAAATTTTTAATTTATTTCATTTAAAATATATGCTCTCCATCTCAAATTAGTAGTATAGTGTTGTGCCCCTGTACATCATACTTTTCCATTAGCAATGGAGTCATTCCAGTCATCTATTAACTGCTTTCAGAGTAAAGTTTTGAATTAAAGTAACTTGATTTTCAGTTTGCATCGAAAGTTCTCATACAGTTAATTGGGGGCTCCTGTCTCTACACTTTACATATCTGGTCTCGTTTTTTTATCTATCTAACTCTATTCTTGAGATTAAGGAAAGACAGATGGACAACAATGGGAATTTATAGGTCTACAATTTTTTTCAAATTTTAGTCCAATAAAACTTTTATACAAAACATTGTTAAATAATAAAATTAGAAGATAAAGCTTCTGAAGATAGAAGATTAAGATTTTTTTTTTTTTTTTTTTTTTTTGTTAATCTNGATCTAACACTTTCAAAAAGTTTTGAAGGAATTGTTTAGTATGGTATTTGCTTTGGAATTAGTGATATTTTTAATAAATATCACTAACTTCAACCCTGATTCATTTTTATACATAAAAGAAATATCTGTACCAATTAATTGATTATATATTATTTTAATATTTCATTAAAATTGGCTACAATTCTGGGTTGATTTTACTACAGATCCTCTCGAATTATTATTTTAAATTATCTCACAATAATCTTTTTAAATATAAATTTATATTGCTTTAAGTTAATTTGTCATTCACTTTTTCACTTTTATGTAATGACATTGTACTTAATTAGTTATTATATTTTGATACTCATATATTTTGTGATTTTAATTTTAGACTTGGCTGTTGGGATACGAACTGACTGACACTCTTATGGTTCTTTGTGAAAATGAAATATACTTTTTAGCCAGTAAAAAGAAGGTAGAATTTTTAAAACAAATTGAATCCAGTAAAGAAAATGAAAATGCAGTTCCACCAGTTATACTTTTAACAAGAGATAAAGTAAGTTAAATTAGAAAGATTCTGTCTGGAATTTGAAAATATTTGTATAATGAAAATATCAGTATTATATAAAAACTATAAATATAAAATAATATAATAGTTAAATATAAAAACTATTCATAACTGCTGAATAACATTTATTAAATTTAGGAAAAATTTTAACTAATTTTAAATGAAGCAGCATTATTCGTAAATAATAATTTAGGTTATTGACAATTAAATTCTCTATTTGGAAGTTTATATGAATTATTTGGTTCAAACAACAGGGTTGAATTTATTCATAAGCTAAACAAATTTTGACTTAGAATCTCATGTTACAAAGTTACAGTTTAGGGCCACATGTCTAAATTCAGCCCTACTCTTCTTAGAGTTTAAAGTAAAAAATTGCTCTATTAATTAATTTTGATTACATAAAATCAACAAAAAAATGCATGATGTGATTTAGGTGATAATTTAATTGATGAAACATTTGAACTTAAATCAATTACTATTTTATTATGTATAGAGGAGATTTTATATAGTTAGTTATTTTATTTATAGGCTGATAAAGATAAGGCAAATTTTGAAAAATTAATCGAAGCCATCAAGAAAAGTCGGAAGGTAAAAACATAAAACTATGCATCTTATGGTTATTCATTAATTATATATTTTTTATAATTAATTTCTATAATATAGTTATATATTAAATAAATATTTTCTCTTACCAGAAATGACTTGAACTATCTATATTTAATGAAAATATAAATACTAAAATATAAGTACTATTTGTGGATTTTAAAATAAATTGCTAAATATTCAAAAAATAAAACACTTATTGTTTTAATTTATGAGAGATTTTTAAGAATGTATTTAAATTAATATATTGCATTTTATTTGATAAAAACTATACTAATCGTTGCTCATAACTAAAAAATTTATTAGAATTATTGAAATTTTTATCGTCTCTGAGAAATATTTCTCAGAATTCATTCAAATGCAAATTAATAGATAATGTAGTAAAGATTAATTCAGATTTACTAAAACAATTAATATATTGAACAAAATCTTTCTTCAGTGTAACAGAATGCACATGTTTTAATTCATAATTTTAAAGTTTTCTAAACTCTATAATTTATTTAGTTCCATGATTTTCTGTTTTTCAATATTACATTAGATTCTATTTTTTAAATTTAAAAGTATTTACAGAAAAAATTTTTATAAGTAGCATAAAATTATAGAAGTCTACAGTATTGATAATTTATGACAAGATTTTAATACAATGTATTTTAGTGAGGAATTGAGTTTTAATAATTTTTTCCATCATAATTAAATTTATAAAATGAAATAAATTTCAATTCAAAAAACATTTAGAGTTTCAAAAGAACATTCAAGGTTGTAAAAATAAAGTTTATGATTATTATAAGAGATAATCATTAATTATTATAATAATATCTTTTTACAGGGAAGCACAATTGGTTGTTTTGTAAAAGACAAATTTCCTGGTGAATTTCTAGATTCATGGAGAACTGCTCTAGGAGCAGGGAAGTTTGAAAAGGTTTGTATAATTATTTTTAATTAATGGATGATTTTTTTATTTTTTGTAATTTTTAATTTATTGATTCTTAATGTCCATGAATTGGCATTAGAATATTCTTAAATTTATAAATTAAATATTTAAATTCATATAATATATTGACTGAGATATGATATAATCATTACAGTAACCAAAAGAAAACATTTAAAATGAATCTTTAGGTGTACACTTTCTCTAAATTTTATCATTCTGTAAATAGTATTATTAAAGTTAGAGAAAAATTGCTTATAAAAATGTATTTTGAATGTTTTATTTTGATATCTGTAAGAGTTATATCATCAGATCTTTGTCAATACATCATATGAACTTGATTTTATTTCATATAAGCTACACTGGAAACACTTATTAACCTAAATATTTATAGTGATAATTGAATAAAGAAATTTCATTTTGATTTGTTTCTTATGAAAACAAAATCTTATAATAACTTAACCAATGATTAAATAAAGAAATGTTTAAAAAATGAAAATTTCTTCTTTGTATGACTTACTGCAGTTGATCATATACAACACAACTAAGTTTGTTAATTCAGCACTTATGGGATTAGCGAGATGAATTGTGAAAATATCAAATTAACTAAGATTTTGTATTTTTGCAAAATTTGATAAGTTATATGTAAAGAGCGGTTTTTTCAAGCTCCAATGGTCCATAAAACAGACGAGTATAAATAACAAAATGAATTTATTACCAAAAGTTAGGTACAAACATAGTTACTTTTCAACATAATCACCGTGAAGGTTGACGAATTTGTCATATCTGAAGACGAGCTTTTCCATCCTCTTGTCATAGAATGTTGCTGCCAGTGAATTGAGATGATTGTAACAATGTTGTTTTGAAGATTATCATTAGTCTCAAACCTGCTAGCCATGTTTTCAGTGCAGAAAAGAAGTAGAAGTCTTCACACATTAAAAAGTTTTAAGCTGGGTGGAGGTGGTAGTCTTCATGACCTTTAAACTCCCAGCGTATAGCCCCAATTTAGCGCCAAGCGACTTCAACCTCTTTCCTGAACAGAAAAAGTGGCTAGGAGGGCAGAGGTTCAAGACTAATGACAATATTCAAAACAATGTTAGGGCCCATCTCAAGTCATTGGTGGCAACATTCTACAACAAGGGGATGGAAAAGCTCATTCACAGATATGATAAATGCCTGAATCTTCACGGTGATTATGTTGAAAAGTAACCATGTTTGTACCTAACTTTTGGTAATAAATTCATTTTGTTAATTACACTTGTCTTTTTTTTATGGACCATCAGAGCTTGAAAAAAAAAAAAAAAAAAGTTTATGTATAATATGCTACCTGACCATTGTAGACACATTACTCTACATTTTGTACCAGCATGTTCTGCTTTATGTTTCTAATTTGCATATTCTTTAATTAGTCTGAAGATAAAACAGTGCATGACTATACTGTGCCAAGATTGATTTTTTTTTGTTTGTTTATTTATTCTCTGCCCTGTTGGCACAAAGAGGGCCTTTTTATGAATCTTATTAAGGGTTTTTCCAGGCCTACAATAGGGAGGCAGGNTAGAATTTCTGAAACAATGGTTTTTTGGAATGCCAAAATCTTCAAACTTTCATACAGTCAAACTACTGTATAATCTTCATTGATTGTAGTGCACATAAATTCCACATTTTCAGACATTATGGTTGATGCAGCTTGTCCAAGTGGAAATCATTTCAACTAAATCATAGTCATCCTTAAATTGTTGAAAACACTCCTTAATTTGTGTTTTGCCCATAGATTTATCCCCAAAAGTTTGTTTCTGCATATGAATGTTCAATTGTTTTCAAAATTTAAGGCAAATTAATTGCTCAACACACTTAGTCATTATAAAGAAACTATAAATGCAATAGACATAGGCTTAGCATCTGACAACATTGTGTCCCACAGCTAATTGAACTGTGTACAGAGTGACATGGCTTGGCATTCATGCACACTAATATATCTTCTGATACAACCACGAATTTCATTGCAGTGCAGAATCAATTATAGTTAACTTTTTATTTATCAGATAAATAGTAGATAAGCCCAGTGTTGTACAGGCAAAAAATAACAACAAAAAACATTAAAATAAAATCATATAAAGAGCCTACGATTATCATGTTTATCATGATACTTGGATGGTATGAAATGGCAAAATTTCATTGGTCAAGTAAACCGGTATTTGAAAATATATCTTAAATTTAAGATATCATATTTTCAATTCTGCCAAGGGGCTGCCTCCTGGGAGGACTTTAAACTGAGAAACTCGTCCCTACTTAGGTGTCACTAATGAAAAGAAAACCCAGAAAACTGCATGTGGCAAAATCTGTTGGTGATGCTCGAACCCATGAACCAGTGTTAAGGTTTCCATCCACTTGGCCACTAGTGGGGACTTGTTAGAACTAAGAAAGTACCATTCAGAAATGAAAAAATTAGAGTTGTTAGATGTGGAAAATTAAATACTTATGTAGTTTTTATAGTGTAACACTTTTGAATGAACACACGAGTACTCCGAGCAATCTGTAAGTAATAATACAGGGTGTTTATAAATAAATGGTGCAGTTTTAAAAATTAATAATAAATTTATTTATTACCTTACAGCAAACCTTACAGTATAAGCAGTGGCAACTGTCCAAGTTCACAGGAATGTACGCAAGCTTCTTAATCGTGTTCTTCACCAATGCTGGATTGGATGTGGTGCAACAGCAGACAATAACCTGCTCCCCTGGCCACTCCGTTTTCTGGATTTAACACTTTGTGATTTCTTTTTGTGGGGGTTTGTTAAAGACCAAGTTTATGTACCGCCAATGCCTGTGTCCCTTGAGGAACTGTGTAATCAGATAAAGCATGCCCTGCAGACCATCACGGAGGACATGCTACACCACGTAGGGAAAGAATTTAATTACCATGTAGATGTGTGTCGAATGACCATGGGTGCACATATTGAAGGATTGTAATTAATGCATAAAAAACTTGAACAGTTGCTGCAACTTATGCTGTAAGGTTTGTCCATATAAGGTAATAGAGAGTTTGCGGCCGACGTTTTCAACGCGAAAACGTGTACCTCAGAAGTTCAGCGCCGCTTTCCTGTAAACCTAGAAGTTTGACAATGCCGTTTGGAACGTCAGTGGAATCATGATCGAAGTTTCAAACGGCATTGTCAAACTTCTAGGTTTACAGGAAAGCAGCGCTGAACGTTCGACGTACAAGTTTTCGCGTTGAAAACATCGGCCGCAACCTCTCTAATAAATAGACTGATTATTAATTTTTAAAACCAAACCATTCATTTATAAACACCCTGTATACTGCATCTAATTCCTGCTACATCATTGTAGAAGTAATTAAGTAAATATAATTGTTTTAATTATATTCTTTTTTGCATGAATTATATTTAGTTTATTATTTTTTAAATTTTCTAGCCAATAGATGACACTACATGTAAATCCAGCAAATTGAATGTGGAGAAAAATTAATTGATAATTACAAATTCAATTAATATTTCGGAATGGTATGTACAATGTTATCTAAGTTAAAAGTATGTTAAAGTAATTGCTGTGTTTCATAGCAATTGGTCAAATTGGCCTAGGAATGCATAGTAAACAAACAAACATCTTCATTTACAGATATAGAAGATTATTGGACAAATCTTATATGCTATATTCTGAAAATAATTATTATTAAGTAATCATTTATTTATTTCCATCAATCTAATTGCATACTTTCGAAGCATCTTTTATGTAAGTACTATGATAAAGTTGATTTTTTACACAACTTTAAATTTCACATTTGAGCTAAGAATAATAAATTAGTTTTTAGTATTTTTATTAATTCATTATAAAATATCTATTCTGTAAAAATAAATCAAGTCCTATTATTGCATTTTAAAAAAATTTATTTTTGTGCAAGTTATAATTATTTAAATATTGATTGTTATTTCCCAAAACAGTTAGGTTCACAAGTTTGAAAAAACATCTACAATTAATTATCCAATAACAAATAAATTTACATCAGCCATTTTTTTTAGATGAAACTAAAACTGTTTAAAACAGTGGTTCTTAAATTACTGAGATCTAAGATCCCTTCAAAAACTTAGTCAGTCTGACATAAATTTTGTAACGTAAACATAATAGAAACAAATATTAACTAAATATAATTATAGTAAATAAATAATGAAAACTGGAAAAAATACATATATTATTCTTTGTTTATTATCATATTTGTACATTTATAAAATATATATACAGTAAAACTTCGTTTTAACAAATTGCCCAGGGCACTGAAAATCAACCATTGTTGTGAAAATCTATTATATCATGAACAACAAATTTCTGGCACTCCCAGGAAAATATCTGTTATTTGAAAATATTTTTGTTTTTTAAACTCCCTACATAAAAAAACCACCTGTACTCAAAATTATTCATTCTCTTGAGATTTCTATCCTTTATTATATACAAACATGTATATTACAAGATCATGCATTATGCTGTAACAAAGCTGACAGAAACTATATATGTTATTAGCCAAAAGTGACAAAATACAATTGATCATTAGCACGATATATTAAAAAATTTGTACTTGTCCATCTTGGTTTGCTTTGAAACTTTAATGATGCAACATTTCTGGGCTTCTTTTGGTGGCATCATCAGTACGAAATGTTACTGTTATGCAAGCAAGATTTCAAGGTGCAATATTTGGGAACACGTGTCTGCAACAAATGTGTGCCACACCTTTGTTGCACACATGTGCATATCTGGAAGTGTTAAGCCAAAAGTAGTTTCCTGCCACTAATCAACACACTACAGGAGGGCACTAATGGGCAGCTGCAACTTTAGCAGTGAGAACAGTGACAATTATGCATTTAGTTTGCACAGCATGCAATATATACAAGGTCTGTTCAAAAAGTATCGGACCTTTTTTTTTTCCGCGTAAACTAGTGATGCGCGAGAGGTCTCCTTCGGTCAAGATGTGTAGGAGACAG